AGCCCCAGTCCAAAGTACATGCTGGGCTCTCAGGAATGTGGCCCAGCCCAAACTCTGTGCTGGGCCACTCTCGAAAATCATCTTCACCATTGAAAAGCCGCAGACAGCTCTCCCTAAGTATATACTAATTCTATAAATATTCTTTTAAATCTTATAAAGAAGCTTGTACCGTATAAAAGGCTCCCAAATGTGACCTGAGTTTGAATTATATCTAATACCTAGGCCGAAACCGCAGTTTATGGGAAACAGGAACAATGGGTTTCTAGAGTCAGCTATGCCTGTCACAGTCACAGTGTTCAGCTTAGGCCAGCAGAGTTCCTTTAGGTTGTTCTTGTGCTGCATGGCAAAAGGGGGAGGAAAATGGGGGGGTCTACGGCTCCCGAACACGTCCTAGCGGTCTCGAGGTCCACGGCCCTCCCTGATCCCTAACGCTCAGTGGGCCTCCGTGGCCGGCTCCCAACAGAGGAGTGCTTGTTGTGTTTAGGTATGGCAGCCAACCGAATAAAAAAGGTTATTATTTTATGCAGGTGCTTATGCCCGTTTTTTATTTCCACCTCCCTCACTCTCTTTAGTAACTTACGTTGACGAAGATGAAAATGAAATACTTGAATTATCATCAAATAAAACATTCTTCGTCATGCTAAAGATTCCGGAGGAGTGTGTTACGGAGCAGGAGTTGCCTCACCTGCTCACTCAAAGGGTAAGGATGTCTGATGCATTGTTTACTGAATTCTTAGCATTAGAATGTGAGTTTTGCTAGAATAATTGGCACAGAGCTATAGAGTAAGTCACTCAATCTCAGATTCTTTGACTGGATTTTTGGCAGAAAATGATGTTTATAAACGTATTTTCTGCAGTACAAAGCCAGATGGGAGAGTCCTGGCCTCCAGCTGCATGTATCTCGGAGGACAGTGTTTTATTCACTTACTCTGAACTTATATTTGATTCAACATATAGTATTCATTGAGAATCTATGATGTTCTAAGACAACACGCCAAGTACCAGGATCATGTTGTCTGTGCCTTCAATGGGCTCCTAGTCCAAGTACAGGAAGTGTCAACATCCTATATTAAAAATATAGTTATACAACAGTGTGATGTGTTCTGTTATTAAGTACAGTGTGTTTTACAACTACAAAGGAGGGGCACCTGAGGGGCGGGAGGCAGGGAAGATACTCAGGATGAGTTTTGAAAAAGATAAGAATGTTCTAGATAATTGTGCTTGAGACATCTGGGGATCTGCAAAGTAGTATACAGTGGCCTTCACATGCTGTGTGGTGAGGACTTGCAGAGATGAGGTTGAAGAGGAAGGCAGAGGCCGGGTCCTGCTGCTTTTCGTGCTCGTGCATAAAGCACTGAAAGGTCTTATCAGCAGATTGACACAGCTGGTTTTTCATTTTAGCTTTTCTGTGTGGTGGTGGAGAAAGACTGGAGGAAGAAATCAGGAGCTATTGCAGTAGTTCAGGCAAGAAAGGAGGGAGGCTTGACCTAGGGCAGTGTCAGAGAATAAGGACGATTTGAGTGAGATTTTAGAGGTATTCTCACTCAACAAGACTCAGTGGTGGGGAGGGAGAGTGTGACTCCAGACGCTGGTTGGGTGATTGGGCAGTTGGATGGCAGTGTCCCTTCATGGGGCGAAAGTGCAGGAGAAGGAGCCTTCTGTGCTGTCTGGGGGTTCTGTAGCCAGATCATGAGGGTTTGTTGGGGCAGTCCTGATCATCCTTTCAAAGACAGAGCGGATCACAGCCAGAACCAGAAGACTTTTTGATCAGCCAGTCAGTCATTAGATATTTCTTTGAAGATTCCATCTAGGTCACTTCAGAGTCAGTTTCTGGGTAAACTAGATGCATGAGATGTGATTGCTGCTTTTATCGCAGGGGTTTGTATTCTGCAATGATTACTCCAGGCTTCTTTCTCGTTCTCCTTCTCTTCCTTGTTTATATTTTATCTGCAATTCTCTTTCCTCTGTTTCTTCTACCTGTTTCCCAGAGCAAGATGCCAACTAAGAAGCTTCTTGCTACTTTCCTCTTGGTTGCTGTTTTGTTTTGTTGTTTTGTTTTCTTGAATCATGGTCTCACTCTGTCGCCCAGGCTGGAGTGCAGTGGATGCTCATGGCTCACCACAGCCTCCAACTCCTGGACTCAGGTGATCCTTCCACCTTAGCCTCCCAGGTACCTGGGACTATAGGCATGTGCCATCATGCCTGGCTAATTGTTTTGATTTTTTTGTAGAGATGAGGTCTTGCTATGTCGTCCAGGCTGGTCTCAAACTCCTGGGCTCAAGCAATCCTCCCGACTCGGCTTCCTAAGTGCTAGGATTATAGGCATAGCCACCGTGCTGGCCTTGGTTGCTTTTTTAATGGAGAAGTTTTGCATTTGCTGAGCAGAAGTGAAATGAGTCAGCATCCATACATGTCACCTATTGCAGGTTGAGCTCTATGTCAAAGGGAAACGGATGTTTCCACCTTAGAACCATATCTCTTGCACAGAGTCAGACACAAACAGATTCTTCAGATATTTTTTAACTCATCACTGTCTAGTGGCAAAGGAACAAGGACTGACAGTGATACCCAGGGCAAGCTAGGCCACAGGTCGCTTTGAGCATTTCCTCCCTGATAAATAGAAATAGCTGTACTTTTTTGTTTACTTCACAGGTGCCAATGAGATTGCATATAAAGAGCTTTGAAAAACGTTCTTCTGCTACAGGTGCAAGTGAAATTACATGTAAAGAACTTTGAAAAACATTAAAAATAATTTACAAATGCTAAAAGTAAGGCACAGTGAGGTGTGAGACTTCTGCCCCTCGTTTCCCAACAAAATATGCCCAGGAACAAAAATTGGCAACTTAAGAAATTGCTGTCTTACTGTCAGGTCGATAACCCCTTTCTCCTATTAGGTCAACTTCCAGAAGTTTCTAGATAGAGAAGGTAAATGGGAGTAGGCTTTTGTGTAGGAAAAAACTGTTTTTCTCTATACTCACACTCAATGCAGAACCAAAAACACATTTGTGTGACCAGATGTGTGGAGATTTTTTCCACATCAACCAATTCTCTGATACCAACTGGGTCTCAATTTGGACACGATCTACCTAGAGTTAGGTGCAGACCCCAAAGATTAAGGAAGGGCTCAGCCCTACAAGACTGTCGCCACTCCAGATGCCAATCACAAGTTCAGGTTGTCACCAACCAGTTATAAATCAGAGATTTTCACAATCCCCTCCTTGGGTTCAGTTGTTTGCTAGAAGAGCTCACAGAATTTAGGGAAACACATTTACCAGTTCCTTATCAAGGATATTACAAGGGACGCAGATGAACAGTCAGATGAAGAGGTACATAGGGCAGGAATGTGGAGGGAGGGGTGTGGAGCATCCATGCCCTGTCCAGGTGTGCCACCCTCTCGGTATGTAGATGTGTTCAGCAACCCAGGAGCTCTCCAAACCCTGTCTTCTGGGGATTTTTATGGAGGCTTAATCACACACGATAATGGATTATTAACTCACTGTTCGGTCTGTCTCTGCTCCCTGGAGGATAGGGTTGGAGCTGAAACTTCCAAGCTCCTAACCGTGGCTTTGTCTTTCTGGTAATCAGCCCCTGTCCAGGAGCCCACCAAGAGATACCTCATCAGAACAAAAGACACTCCTATAACCCAGGGAACTCCAAGGAATATAGGAGCAGCTCTGAGTCTGGACTGTGAGGTAAAGACCAGATATTAGAAAGAAAGATGGCCCAACACCCTTATCACTCAGGAAATAACAAGAGTTTTAGGAGTTCTGTGCCAGGAACGAGGGGCAGAGACTAAGCAGTAGACATATTTTTATTACATTACAGTATCAAAACTTTATGCCTTTTCCCTTGCTTTTCTAAACACTGTTTTTCTAGCCCTTGTCATATGTCACTGTCAGACTCTTCTTTTTCTCTCGGAGTTGGGGTCATTACTGTGCTTAAGCCAGCCTTTTAGTTGTGTGGTGCATCACCACAACCTGTGTGTGGCTTAGGTGTTAAAGAAGCTGATCTCTAATAAGACACTGTGTCAGACTCTGGAATCAGCTCACTGGGTTCCACGCTCAGTTTGTGCCAAATCTCATAAGGACAATGTAGACACTAGAACAGAAGGTGAGGAGGTCCCCTTTTCACTTCTTTTGTACCAAAGTGGACAGTGTGACTAACAGCTCCTAAAATGTAAATATGTTCTAAATATGGCAGGGAACCGTGTCCCGAAAAGAATCTTAGAGTGAACACTCAAAGTGATCTGGTCTGCCTTAACTTTTTAATTTAAAATTTTTTCTGAGAGCCTACAATATGCAAAGCATTGTACTAGGCCCTAAAAATGAATAAAGGAAAAAAGGAAGAGAAGGAACAAAGAAGATTGGGAGGAAGTCTAGACAGCATCTCTGCCATAGGAGGCTCGATCTGAAAGGGAAAGATATTATTATGATTATGATTATTTGAAAAAAATTGCCCTATATAGTATTTTCATCTTCCTCCCTGTCATCTGAGCACCCCTATGGAAGCTACTTTTGTTGTTTCTGAGTTTTCTAAATGATTATCAGCAAGTGGCAACATCCTGTTCACTGGGGCTCAAGAATGATATGATGATCTGGTTGTTTTTTCCCAAAGTTCTTAGCACTTTATGCTTCTTCTTGATATTTTGAAGGAGACACTTTCCTTCATTGCTTTATCCTAACTAGGTAGTATGATAAGATGAGAAGAAACTGGGTTTTAGTGTCTGTAACACCAATAAATTTTGGCTTCACTATTTACTAGCAGAGTGACCAGAGGACAGGTTTCTTAACATTTTTTTAATCAATAAAAAGGTGTGTGTGTGTGTGTGTGTGTGTGTGTGTGTGTGTGTGACACACACACACACAGAGAGAGAGAGAGAGAGAGAGAGAGAGAGAGAGAGAGAGAGAAAGGTCTCACTCCGTCTTCCAGATTGGAGTACAGTGGCATGATCATGGCTCACCATAGCCTTGACTTGACTTCCTAGACTCAGGGTGATCCTTCCACTTCAGCCTCCTGAGTAGCTGGGATTGCAGGCATGTACCATCAAGCCTAGCCTCCCCCTACCCCACTCCCCCAATCCTCCCCAAAAAGCCAGGGGGAGATAAATTAATGCCTGTTGTGTTGGGTTTTGATAAATATCACAACAATATTAGAAAATTAGAGGAGCACAGATAGTGACACTTTTATCTATTTCACTCTGCCTTTGAGAGATTGAGTTGTACCTGTTGAATTAAGTGCAAGTCTTGTGGAAGCACTGCCTCCTTGAAATTCCATTCGGGATTGGGCGGGAGACAAGATGAGTCCCCATGGGGCACTGCTGCTTTTCGTAGGTTCTGCTGCCTGTTAATGGATAAAGTAATGAGGGCACTAAACCATATGGTGTGCTGACTTCAGCACAGGGTGCTGTTGGATGCTGGTGAGATTTCCAGAGCAAGGCCAGGACTGAGGCTTCAGGCTGGCAGGAGTGGATCTGGTGGTGTCTCAGATGCCTGGTCATGGGCTCACTCCAGCCTCAGAGCTGGGGACATATTGGGGATTATAACCAGGTTCCGGTGCAGTCCCCTTGATTTATGCCACAACTAATCTGGTAAAGGACAAGGTGTTTAACATAAATTCAATGTAATATATTCAGCCACAGGTTCTTGAGTAACTACTAGGCTAGAATTCATATTTCCGAAACGACTAATCAAAGTCTGGGAAAAGGCATTTGCTACAAAATGCCAACAATCAGTATCCAGAATATACAACTAACCATTTCAGATAGATAAGAGAAAGACAACCCAAGAAAAAGAGAGGAAAGTAACGTGAAATTCAGAAATGAGAAGTTCCAGAGAGTTAATAAACATAGGTAAGCAAGATAGTGCAGATTAAAACAACTTAAAGCATTATTTTGTATCCCTCAGGTTGACAAAAATTTAAGTCTGGTAAGCCTAAGCACTGGCAAGGATGTAGAAAATGGATACATGTACATTGCCAGGAGGAGAGAAGGGAGAGCTGTTTTAAGTTGGAGGTGCTACTCTTGGACCCAGCAATTCCATGTATATGAGGGGGAACCCCTAAAAACAGAATTTACCTCTAAAGTTGTGTATTTAGTCTTTCATGTTTAACCTTCAGTCACCTTCAGTGTACTCTCCATTTGATGCAGTACACCTGTTGAGATGCTTTTGATCAGTTTCTGAACTCATCAGTTTTGATGCCTTTTAGTGCTTCTGCTGTTTTTTGTTTCACCTCTTCCACATCAGCAAAATGTTTCACTTTGAGGACTTTTTTCCATTGGGGAAACAATAAAAAAAAGTATCTTGGGGGCAAGATTGGGTGACTAAGAAGGGTGGGGTAAGAGGATCATGCCATTGTTGGTCAAAAACTACTGAACACTCAGCACAGTGTGGGCAGGTGTGCTCAGAAAGCACCCATCATGAACTGAGCAAATGCATTAAAATAATCTCCAAAAAAGAATTTCCTGAAGCTGAATGCAGCCTCTCACAACAATGTCAGCTGGCACACTGATGCTGGTGGATTACTAGAGCGCTTATGTGGCAGGAGAAGCCTGTACAACAAGGAGCCCGTCCTCCAAAAGATAATTCCTTTGTTTGGAGTACCCCCTCATATACCAAAAGGAAACTTTTAAATGTACAAGAAGAGCTGCACAGAGACATTCAGGGATGATTAGTTCAGCACAGGTTATAATGGGAGGAATCAGAAACAGTGTATATGATCGTCAGCGAGGAATGGATGTGCTGGAGTAATCTTTTGATGGAGCCTGTGCAGGATTAGATGAATGCTCTGCATCGAGATGTATCTCATGGGTAAATCCCAAGTGTAACTTTTAGTTGAAAAAGCAAGTCTTAGGAGATCATGTAGAATAATAATGTATTTGAACAAAAACACAAATTTATATTGTGAGTACATAAGGAAGTAGTAATTTATAAAATATGCAAGGAAAGGTTACACATCAGCTTCAGGATGATGGTTAGTACTAGGGGATGGAAGAAGTGAAAATGGAATAGTGTGTAGAAGTCGCTTTAGCCTTATTTTTTTCTTAAAATAAAGGGCTGAACTCATAGCAAAATGTGAAGATATGAAACCTAGGTAGTGAAAACACAGTTGTCATTAATTTTTATGGTGTTTTCAATAATTCATGCATAAAATAGAGCCTTCATATCTTTGCAATTTCCCACTCTGTCCAGGGGGATGTGATAGACCTGTGGCTTAGCATGACTGCTAAGCTCTGGAGAAAGAAATTAGCCCTTGGTCACTGATGTCCCAGGTGCTGAGTGGCTTGTGCAGCCCTTTCGGGGTCTACTGTGTGGGCTCCAGCTGCTGACCACTCTTGCCACAAAGGCCACAAGGTGTCAGTGCAACTTTATGGAAAAGTCCCAGCCAAGTCATTGCTCCTTATAAGTGCAGTGCTTTTGAATTAGTATTAACTTGAGTTTTGTTTTTTGGTAGACTCAGACCTTCCTATGACTTGGTCCATAGCCTCTAGATAAGTTGATTCCTAGCTAGAGTGGAATATCCTTTGCTTTGTCAGATGATGTATAATGTGATCTATCAGTAATGCATGTTATTGTTTTATTTGCTTCTGTTTGTTTTAGCTCACAGATGTGTACAGTTCATCACCCTCTCTGAGTCGTTATTTTACTTCCGTTGAAAAAGTGGACTTCAGGTAAGGGAGCATGGAACATTACATTTTGACATCTTTCTCTGGAAAGAGACTGTCCCCTTCATCATTTACCTAGCAAAGCTTCCCTGAGCTCAGAGCATGAAGAAGCATTAACAGAATCATGGAGTGTCATGCTGGGAGGGTCTCTGAGACCAAATGGCTCAACTCCCTTATTTTACAAGTGACCAAAAGGAAGCCCAGATTAATTATGTGATTCAACCAAGGTCACACAGAAGCGAGGAACAGCCAGTGCCAAGTAAATCATTCCTGTTTAATAGTGGAGGCTCAAATAAACTGAAGGTAGAAATAGAAATAGATCTCAGATAATGCTGTCATGTAAATGATATCATCTGTGTCCTGGCTTTTGCTTTTGAGGAGCACAAGTAATTTAGAAGTATATTCTCCTTATTTAATATTGAAAGCATAAAGACATAAGCTTCAGGAAATGTTTCCCTTCTGCCTCCTCTTTTCTCTATTCCCACCACAAGTAACGAACGCTATTCCCTTCCACGGCTTTAATGGCTGTCAGCAGTTAGGTGTGATTGTATCTGATTGCATATGTGTTTATATATGTATGTGTGTCTATATGTGCATATATATGCATACACTATAGATACCATATATGCATAATACGTACACACAGATATATTTTTTTCTTTTTCTTTTTGAGTCGGAGTCTCACTCTATCACCCAGGCTGGAGGCCAGTGGCATGCTCCTGGCTACCACAGCCTTGACCTGCTGGGCTCAGGCGATCCTTCTGCCTCATCCTTCCAAGTAGCTGGAACTACAGGCATGTGCTACCATGCTCAGCTAATTTTTTGATTTATTGTAGTGACAAGGTCTCACCAAGTTGCCCAGGCTGGTCTCGAATCCCTGGGCTCAGGCAGTCCTCTTGCTTCAGCCTCCCAAAGTGCTGGGATTACAGACTTGAGCCACCACACCTGGTCTTATTTTTCTTTTAAAAATTTCTCCCCAATAATTCATATTCTTGAGATGTAGACATTAGGGGGTGTGTGTGTGTGTGTGTGTGTGTGTGTGTGTGTGTGTGTAGGTATTGGTTTAATATCCTTTTATATCATTGGGACTATTGGAGATGATTTAAACAAGATTTACATCAAAGTTTTATTATCCACTCTTCCCGAGATGTCTCTGAAATATGACCATCACAAGCTAGATTACATTGAGATTCCCGTCTCAAACCAGAAATTCTTCAAACATGATATTAGCAGTCGTGGGAGGGGAAGAACATCAAGCAGGTGATAGTCCCACAGCATAAGACCAAACAGTCCTGAAGTCTGCAAACAGCTGCAGTGGCAGGCTGCCTTTCTGCTCCTCCTTTATAGACTCCTAATGCACCGTGTCCACTTATGGTGACATCTTTGACATCACTCATTTTTTTTTTTTAAGTTGGAGTCTCACCCTGTCACCCAGGCTGGAGTGCAATGGCACACTCACGGCCACCGCAACCTTGGCCTGTTGGGCTCAGGTGATCCTTCCGCCTCAGTTTCCAAGTACCTGGAACTACAGGTGTGCACCGCCCTACCCGGCTAATTTTTGAATTTATGGTAGAGATGAGGTCTCGCTAAGTTGCCCAGGCTGGTCTCGAACTCATGGACTCAGGCAATCCTCTCGCCATGGCCTCCCAAAGTGCTGGGATTATAGACATGAGCCACTGCGCTCAGCCTCTACATCACTCATTTTAATCAGGAACCACTGGTACTAAAATGCCCATAGAAAACGGAGAAATGCATAATCTGACCTAACACGCTTTCCTCCATGCCCTTGCCTCACCTTGCAATTTAAAGACTAAGACAGAATTGAGAGAAGAAAAGTCCTAAGAACGGTTAGGGTCTTTCCAAGAACTGGTCCTCTGTTGCGGGCCTAGAGGAGCTGGGATTATATAACAGGGGTGGGGGTAGATGTTGGGAAAAACCCATCAGCAAACTGAGTAAAAAGTGGCTAGAAATCCGGCCTACTTAACATTAGAGAATCTGGTTTTAGAAATTAGTTGAAAAACTTTTTCAAGAAAGAAATTCTTTTTGGAAGAAAAAATTTTGAAGAAAGAAATTCTCTTTGGAAAATATTTTTATTTTATTTAAAGAATCCCAGGCAGTGTTTCTGAAATGTTGAATTAAGAAACAAAAGTCATTGCTTCCCCAAGGATGCTGCTGCATGTGGGCGAGAGACAGCCAGATCCCTAGCACATGACTCTGTGTCTACCGGGGGAGCCTGACCTCAGTCCTTGACTGATCCAACAGGACTCTGGAAAAGTGCCCTTTGGTTTACTGGCTGCTAGACCCACTCCAGTGGTAGACAGTTGGGACAAAACCCACAGGATGTACTACTCTCCCGAACATTTTCCTTCTGCCCTGAAAATTCAGCTTTATGTAAATATACCCAGTGACTTGACATGGTGAGTATGATCGGCTAGCCAGGCAGGGTGAGGTGGCCGGATTTTCTCATTCGGCTTCTAACCTGGTCTCAGCTGAAGAAAACCTTGGGCCCTTTTCATCAGCTGGCCCAAGGCCTTGTCCATGGGAATGCAGGGTGGCTGCCTGTCTAGGGTTGCCCATTATTAGCGATCATTAGAGGGCAGAGCTTAGAGAACAAGTAATGACACCTGCAAAGGGTAGCTGGATTGAAGTTTGAAAGTGTGTTTTTCATCCTGCCTGTACTGGCATCCTTGAAACTGAATTTCTTTCAGAGTCCTGACTCTATACTATTCATTTGATCCACAGGGATTGGCATACTTCTTGATGGTAGTCGAGTTTAAAAACTAAACTGTAGGGCAGGCTCGGTGGCTCAACCTGTAATCTCAGCACTTTGTGAGGCCGAGGCAAGTGGATTGCCTGAGCCCGTGGGTTCAAGACCAGCCCTGGCAACTTGGTGAGACCTTGTCTCTACAATAAATCAAAAATCAGCCGGGCCTGGTAGTAAATGCCAGTAGTTTTGGCTACTTGGAAGGCTGAGGCGGAGGGATCGCTGGCGCCCAACAGGTCAATGCTGGGGTGGCCATGAGTGTGCCACTGCATTCCAGTCTGGGCGACAAGAGTGAGACTCCAACTCAAACAAACAAACAAACAACAAAAAAACACTCAATTGTCAGCCATGTTGTAAGTTGCAAGTATTGGCCCATGTGACCTCAAGCCACAAGAGGGAGCTCTTTGCCTGTCCTTAGCAAAGTCAGAGGTCTGAATCCCTAAAGGGATTGGTGCATCTGTAAAACTTGCCTAGGGTGATAGTCTCAGATGTGGCCTCTTATTAATTATTTTATTGCTGGTTCTTAATCTAGGCTATCTTGAGCCACAGTACTAGAATAACTGTGAAAAACGAAATGTTGGGGTAGCATTTAAAGAAACAGCATAAGCTACGAATTAACTGAGGATAGCCCTATGATTGTATTTATTTTTATGGGATAAAAATAACTAACTGAGGATAGCCCTATGATATATTTATTTTAATGGGATAACTGTAACCTAGCAAGATGAAGGAAAATAGCCTTTCCTTAGATCCCATTACTGAACATTGCAAAGCTTGGTTCTCCTGCCTTAGGAGCGTCTGGAGTTGGAAATGGGACAGAAAAGTTTCTCATGTTGGAGACAAACCAGGGAAATATGATTCCTTACTGGTACACAGGCCAGTCTCTATGGGATCAGAAGTTCTGGACCCAGCCAATGGTGGAGAGCTTTTCTATAGGTTAAATAAATAACTGGTTAAACTGAATAGCTCTGACACACACTTGTGGATGGCAGCATTGAGAACATGGAGAAAGGAATGTTTAAAGAAAAAAGGGCAGACTTCCTTGGGTTGCCTTAGGACAGGGGTCGCCAACTCCCAGGCCACGGACCAATACCGGTCTGTGGCATGTTAGGAACTAGGCAGCAAGCTTCGTTTGTATTTACAGCCATTCCCCATCACTCGCATTACTGCCTGAGCTCCACTTCCTGATAGATCAGGAGTGCCATTAGGCTCTCATAGGAGTTCAAACCCTGTTGGGAACTACACATTTCAAGGGATCTAGGTTGTGCACTCCTTATAAGAATTTAATGCCTGATGATCTGAGGTGGAGCTGAAGCGGTGATGCTATATATTTCATTATATATTACAATGTAATAATAATAGAAATAAAGTACTCAATAAATGTAACGTGTTTGAATCATCCCCAAATCATTCCCCACTCAATCTGTGGAAAAATTTTCTTCCACAAAACCAGCCCCTGATGCCAAAGAGGTTGGGGACTGCTGTCTTAGTGGATGAAGGCTGAGGTTGGGACAGATGGCATGTTGATCCTGGGATCTTCCTTGACCATAACTGGGCTGCAACTCCCTCTTCAACAGCCTCTCCCAGTGGACTTCTAGTTGATGGGTACCAGATGGGAGGAGGAGGTTAGGATCACCCCACCACTTTGTGATACATCTGTGGATGAGGGTTCTTCTGGGACAGTACATCCCTCCAGGACAGAACACCATTTGCTGCTTTATACTGGAAAAACATACAGAACTTAAAAAAAAACAAAAAACAAAAAAACCAAAAAGTTCTTGCTAAAATTGATTTTGTGAGTTGCAGTGTGTCTTTGTTTCTTGTTTTAATGCCTCGGTTTGGTTTGCCTTTCAGTGGTGAAAATGCCACAGCAATCTACCACCTGCAGTTTGGGGTTCCATCAGATGATGACAACTTTATGAAGTACATGATGAGTGAGGAGTTGGTGCTGGGCCTTTTGCTACAAGATTTCCATGATCAGAACCTACCTGGTTGTGAGAATCTGGGACTCGATCCAGCATCCCTCCTGCTCTACGGTCAGTAGAACAAGTAAATAAGTCAGTTGTGATGCTCAACGAGTGACCCAGACTGGGACATCGTTTGGTTTGGTGACTTTGGTGATTTTGTTTTGTGTCAGACCATTCATTCATTCATTCATCCACTCAGCCCGTGTTGTTTCTGTATGGAGATGTTTCACTCTCTGTGGAGGTTCCGGAATCCCTGCCCTCCATAAGCAGTCCGTATAGCGGGGGGGGGGGGGGGGGGGGAATCATGGAAAAGATAGTTACACTATCTTTTATCCTTAATGTTTCCTGTTTGCAGTTCACCCACATTCTAAGGCCTGTGTTCTGTTTTACACCATCATTAGCACACTTCATGAAAACACTGGTTTCACAAGAGAAGCATTGAGGAATTTAAAATAAAGGGTATTACTAAGTTGTTGGAAGACTGTCTCAATATGGGAACCTATTTTTTTTTTTTTTCCTGTTCAAGACCACTGAGTCCATTAAGAAATTAATAGCAGGACATAAAAAGCAAATTGATTTCTTTTTGTTTAGAAAATGAAAACATATTTATTCATCTACTTTTTCATTTAAATGTTTTATTTTAAAGATGTGGGGTACAATTCAGGGTTAGTTTTACAAATGTTCATTTTGCAGGTATTCTTGTTGATACTCATCTACTTTTAAAACTAAAAGCAGAGCTGGGTGGGATGGCTCGTGCCTGTAATACCAGCAGTTTGAGAGGCTGAAGCAGGAGGATGGCTGGAGGCCTGGAGTTTAAGACCAGCCTGGGCAACCAGTGAGAACCTATTTCTACAAAAAAAAATTTTTTTTAATTGGCTAGACATGGTGTCATGCACCTGTACTCCCAGCTACTCGGAGGGCTGAGGTGGGAGGATCACTTGAGCCCAGGGGGTTGAGGCTGCAGTGAGCTGTGATCATGCCAGTGCCCTCCAGCCTGGGCAACAGAGCAAGAACTTATCTCTAACACAACAAACAAGCTGAAAAACCAAGAACAGAACAAGAAAATTGGTACCTTATTTAATAAACATAGCAAACCATCCCCCTTGTCAGATTCCGAGATTCTTCCTCGCACAAAAGAAGATTGGAAGCCCAAGTGGCTCCGAGCCTTTGAAACATCCTTCTGTGGCTTCTGTAGTGGAGCTCTGGCCTTTGCTCATGGTCTCATCTCATCGCTCACTTCGGATGCCTCACTTGGAGGCATGGTGGCTCTTGTTCATCCCATAATGCCAACAATCTGAATATTTTCTCATCCACAGTCTATCAGAAACACCTTCTGCACATTAGCAGGCACTCAGTGAGGACTAGTTGAATGAATGAAAGAGCCAACTTAGAAGTAGATGTGGTTCGCAACAGGTGCAGTAGCAGCAGCCTAGAATCAAAAGGGTGGAACAGAGGGTTACCAAGCACCACGTCTTGCCATCTAGTATGAGAAGAGGTATTTGTTATCATGACACTTGTTTCATGATGATGGGAGGGAAGGGTAGAGAACTCTTGGCCTAAGAAGTCAGAGAGTTGTTGGGAAAAAGAACAGTTCTGAAAGCTTTTTTTCTAAATGAATAAAAAGAATGGCACTCAGATGGCCAAGTTTTAGCTCACTGGAAAAGTCTCATAAATGGTTTCCTCACAGAGCATCCTGACTAAATGAAGTGTGTCTGGGGGCCAGGCAGACAATAGGCCCAACTATGGGAGTTTTGAAAAGAAAGAAGACACAAGCCTTCGGCCCCCACCTGTGTAAAGAGACCTGCATGCTAGTGGGGGTCACTGCTGTGGTGTGATGGGTCTTCATTTTCTTAGGCCCCCTCTACAAAGTTGTGTTATGCTGGGTGTGGTAGCTTAAGCCTGTAATCCCAGCACTTTGGGAGACGGAGGCGAGAGGATTGCCTGAGTCCAGGGGCTCGAGACTACCCGGGCAACTTGGTGAGCCCTTCGTCTCTACAATAAAACAAAAAATCAGCCAGGTGTAGTGGCCCGTGCCTGTGGTTCCACCTACTTGGAAGACTGAGACGGAAGGATTGCCTGAGCCCAGAAAGTCGAGGCTGCGGTAGCCGTGAGTATGCCACTACACTGCAGCCTCAGCAACAGAGTGAGACTCCAACTCAAAAAACCAAAAAAACAAAGTTGTGTTATTAGTGTTTTCCAAATGGAGGCAAGGGAGGAGGGAGGAGTGGAAGGAAAGGTTTAAGAGAAGCCGGGTTCGGTGGCTCAGCCTGTAATCCTGTGCCTTTGGGAGGCTGAGGTGAGTGGATTGCCTGAGCCTGCGGGTTCGAGACCCACCCGGGCAACTTGGCAAGACCTCCTCTCTACAATAAATCAAAAATCAGCCGAGCGTGGTTGCGCACGCCTGTAGTTCCAGCTACTTGAAAGGCTGAGGTGGAAGGATCGCCGGAGCCCAGCAGGTTGAGGCTGCGGTGGCCGGGAGCGGCCACTGCACTCCAGTCTGGGCGACTGAGTGAGACTCCAACTCAAAAAGAAAAAAAGAAAGATTTAAGAGGATTATAAGACTCCAAGGTCCATGCAGAGCAGGATAAAGGACATGCTACTCGTGAAGCCTGAAGAGAGCTCTAAAAAGACTCAGAGTCCAGTCAGAGTACATCAGAGCCATTTCCCCAGGGCCTGGGCACTGCATCAGACACGAGGGTGAGGGTGGCTGGGGGTGCAGCTGTGAGGGGAGCAAAGTTTCTGCTCTGCTGAAGCGTGTACTTTTTCTCTCAGGCGTTTCTCTGTGGGGATCTTCTGTGACCATACATCCCACTTTTCAGGGCATGAGTGTGCAGTATTTCAGCCATTTTGTGTTTTCAGGATGTGAGTTTGAGCCCCTTCTCAAATGGAAGGGTGGACAGTGACCAGTCAGGAAGTGAGGGGGGAAGAAGAGAGAGATGAAGCAGGCAAGCAGGGGGAAGGATGAGTTCAGAGGCAAACTCTAAAGACAGGGAAGATTTGTGTTGGGGGAAGCCCAGGCCCCTAGGAGGGACCCAGTGAGATCGAGTGGTAATGATCTTATTCTTCGAAGAGCAAAGATTCTTAAAATTGTTGTTTAAAATTTTTTTAGTTGTTGAAAATTCGTAAAATTGGTTCATATGCCCCCTTAGAGAATTTGAAGATTGCTGTGTACCTTCTCTCTAGAAAAAGAAAAATTGCACACACTCCTTTCCACTATACAAAATGGGACAAACAATTTCAGGGATACTGAAGATCCCCCTGAAACTAACCTGTGGTCCCTTTTGGGGTTCATATGTCTGCACTTTAGAAGCTGAATCTTATTTTTTTGAGTTGGAGTCTCACTCTGTCGCCCAAGCTGGAGTGCAGTGTCATGCTCACAGCCACCGCAGCCTCGACCTGCTGGGCTCCAGCGGTCCCTCTGCCTCAGCCTTGCAAGTAGCTGTAACTACAGGTGTGCGCTACCACACCTGGCTAATTTTTTTTTTTTTGGTTTGTTGTGAGACAGGGTCTTGCCAAGTTGCCGGTCTCGAACCCGCGGGCTGAGGCAATCCACTCACCTCGGTCTCAAAGTGCTGGGATTACAGGCTAAGCCACTGAGCCCGGCCTAGAAGCAGAATCTTAAACTAGACTATAATGTGGATTCCTGAGGCGTTTTGTGTGTATACACTTCTTATTCTCTAATCTGGAAATACAGTGATTATTTTGATCTGCCTGCCAAGCATATTTTGATGCCTTATATAAGTAAAAAACTCTTCTCAACGTGTAATTATAAAGGGATCTTAAAAATTCGTCTCCCTTTCCTATCTATGATCTTCTTCCGCTTCTGGATGGGCAGAGCCCAGGCATAAGGTAGGTAGGGAAGTCTGTTTTACAAATGTCAGAGAATAAGTCAGCAGCTGGAGCTATTTTGAACACAGATTAGTTACCTGGTAATGTATTCACATGGAAAGGGGTCAGCTGGGAGACCAAGTGGGGAAAAAAGGGCAAACAGTATTTTTGTGAGAGAAGAGCAAAAGGCTCCAGGCAGCAAGAGCAGTGAGTCTTGGTGGCATATTTTGGGGGTAAACTGAGGAGAAGCTGCGGGCATAGGCCAGGGTATGTGGGATAGAAGAACACTGTTTCTGTTGTCGATGGATCCTGCAGGAAGGTGGAGAGTTAAACCATAGAGTAGTATTTCTCCGTTGGGGCGGTTTTCCCCTCGTGGGTATTTGGTAATGTCTGGGGACATTTTTAGTTGTCACAACTGGAAGCGTCTGTGAGTTACTGGCATCTAGTGGGTATAAGCCAGGGATTCCTATACACATCCTTGAAAGCACACAGGATAGCTCTCTACAGTCAAGAATCATTCAGCCCCATGTGTCTGTCATGTTAAGGCTGGAACCCTGTTGTAGATACACAGGCTGCCTCACACAGTGTCTGCTAGGCCTCGCATGCACACTTGCACCTTAGGCCAGGTCTATACTGTTTCCTGCATCAGAGTTTCTCATGGTAATTGTACACATTTTAAACAACAGAAACCTCAGAGACATTTTTATGGTTAGATTACAAAAAAGGATAAAATGTTAAAATGTTCCTAGTATCCAAAAGCCATATTTTAAAAAATGTTATTTGTTATGAATTATACCCAAATAAATAAGCAACAAACACTAAATATTATTCATCTTTTGAAAAGTATTCAGAAGGATGTGTGTGTGTGTGTGTGTGTGTGTGTGTGTGTGTGTTTGTTTGTGTGTATGTGTATATGGACTACCGAGTAAACTTCCTCTGTTAGGAATTGTACATGGGATTTCATATTCAAACCCAGTGAAATCAAATAAAAAAGTAAGTGTTTAATATAGTGATTTTAAACATTGGTGACCTTTGTTCATCTCTGTTTCTTTTCAGAATGAAGCAGTGGCAGTCAGTCTATATCTGAAATGCTCCACCAAGTTTTGGAGTTGAAGATAAGTACCAGCAAGAACTAACGGGTGGACACTGTTCTTTCTCTACTGATTCTGCACAGTTATGAAGTCTGACTCTACACCCAGTAAAATAACTCCTGAGCGCTGCCCCAGCTGGTTCCAGTCTGTCAAAGGAAGGAAGCCAGATGGGGCAGGGGTGATAGGGTCAGCAGGTGCCCCCTGCTGTGGGAGTTCACTGCTATTCTTGAAGCACTAACTTCCACCCACATGGAGATACTTTCTCTTTAGTGCAAAGGTCGTGCTTAAATGGCAAAATTTTATTTGTGTGTGCAGGTGGGGCAAGGAGAAGCAGGTGGCCAGGAGATGGAGATTGAGCCAGTCATTTACTGAAATCCCTCTTCTCCTCCCACCATTATATTTGATCTACCTCTGAGTCAGCCTGTGAGGAAAGAGGGAACACTTTATAAGACTTAAACAGCATAGCTCTGTGTCTACTTCCCTGACCTGTACCTGGGTATCTTAACAGACTAGCCTTAGGCACATCAACCAATGTTACTGTGTGTGTGTGTGTGTGTGTGTGTGTGTGTGTGTGTGTGTGTGTG